AGAGGAGATGACATTTCTGGCTTTGGTCAGCGGAGTTATCACGGCTCTTTGTTTAATAAGGTCTTTAAGTGATCTCAGTAAAGAGGAAGCTGAACACTTAACTACCTCGGTGAACACAGCATTGATTTGGAGGAGCTCAGCTCCGCTGCGCAGGGCTGGATGGGAGCCAGGCCACACTGGCCCCTGGGGGCAGCTGCGGGGGGAGGGGGGGGGCGGGGCACTTAAGAGAGTTTCTCTGAGCTCCAGGAGGTGCAGGCTTCGTGGCTTAAGGAGCTGCCCCAGAGCTCACACTCCCCATCTGAGACAGTGTGCTTGATGGGACACAGAGGAAGCAGGAGGGGTGGATTCTGAGCTGAGCTGAGGGAGGACAGGAGGTTCATGTGGTTTCTGTGGCCCTTGGTCCTCCTATCTGTACAAAGGGACCAAGAAAACAAAGTTCACAGAGCTTGTGGGGTTGGTGTGAGGTAAATATATAGAAATGCTTCACAAATTGTATATCCCCATGAGAAGAAAGTGTGTTTGTTGTTTTAATGTCCGCATATGAGATCCCATTGCTCCTCTGCTTAAAATTCTCCCAAGGCTTTCATTGCCCTTGGGATAAATCTGTACTCCACAGCCTGACCCCCAGGTGCGTGTGCTTTGGCCTTGCCTGGCCCTCCCCTTCCTCTGACGCTCTCTCCCCTCCTTCACTGTATCCTATCCTGCTGGCCCCTTGTCAATTGCTAGAACAGGCCAAGCTCCTGCGTAGCACGCCAGGGGCTCTGTGATTTCTGCTCCTTCTCCCTGGCACTCAGGCCAGGTGCTCTACACAGCTGAACCCTTTCCCTTCAGATCGCAGCTTAATGCTCAAGCCTTGGCGGGCTTCGCCTGATCACTCCCCCAGCATCTGATGCAGCATCTACCTCAGCTCTCCTCCTAGAAACAACCACAAGTTGTGGGTTTGTGATGCATTCCTTTTCTTGTGTGTGGTCTTCCCCTTGAAGAGCTTGGCTCCATGGTCACAAGGATCTTGTCTATTTCGTTCCCTTCAGGGTTTTATCTCTGGACCTGGCACATAGTAGGCATATTAAACAGTTGTTGCATGGAAGATGGATGGATGGATGGATGGATGGATGGATTGATGATGGATAGATAATGGATGGATGGATGGATGGATTGGATTGGATGCTTGACTGGGAATCCTGACTTATTTCCCAAATGGTCTCTCTCTCTCTCTCTCTCTCTCTCTCTCTCTCTCTCTCTCTCTCTCATGCCCTGCTACTCTCTCCCTCTTTCTCTTTCTCTTTCTGTTTCTCTCCCTGCCTCAGATATGGAGACATGGTGCCTAAAACAATTGCAGGAAAGATCTTTGGTTCCATCTGCTCCCTGAGTGGCGTCCTGGTCATTGCCCTGCCAGTCCCTGTGATTGTTTCCAACTTTAGCAGGATTTATCACCAGAATCAGAGAGCTGACAAACGCAGAGCACAAAAGGTAAGCCACAAACACAGGGACAAGGCAGGGAGGAAGTTAAGGTTCACAAGGTACAGGTAGGTTGCCAGGTCTGGGGCCCCTAAGCAGATCCCTGCACCGGAAGCCTCTGACTTGGGAAGCTAAGGCAGCTTTATATCCCTTCCTACCCAGCAGTGTCCTGAACTCCAGCTCTCGTCAACTAGCTGCAAAGCCTAGCAAACCTTCCGTTATCCATGCTGAATATTCCCCCTTGTGGATATTCTTTGGTGACTGGTTGCCCCATAGACCTGGTTCCACTTCACTGCCTCAGCCTCAGCTATTGAGCTCTCTGGTGGCTGCTCCCTCAGCCAGCCAAGAACTTCCTGGGAAACATAGTCTTATCCTAGTATCCTGCACTGGCTTATAAAAACCTAGTGACAAAAATAAGTGTGCCAAAAAGAAAAATGAGAGAACATTCTGAGGGCATGGAGTTCAGGGACAAACCACATATCAAGCTTTAGTAACTAACCTTCACAGTATTGCAGGGTAAATGCACAAAACTCAACAGATGGCCAAGAGAATGTGTCAGTACTGAGGAAAATTCTACTTAATTCCCAGGATCTACTCTTTAAGTCAGCAGAGAAAGGTAAAATGCTGTCATTCACCCTATAAAGAAGGGACTATCCAGAGACTTAGAGCGTGGGGCAAGTGCCGTCTAGGACAAGCCCTCCACCTTCCCTCTAGAACAACTCCTCTATTCACCCGCCTCTCACATGCTGGCATTTCTAAAGCATTTGGAGCAAGAAGGTTCCAAGCAGTTACTTTTATCATGGCTTCCATTAGGAGAGAGATGTCTAAGGAGTTTTTCCTTCTTATCCTGACCTGGATGCAATGTGGTGCCCCTTGGGTGGCACCTTGACCTCCAGGGGACATGCTCAGAGCCTCTAGATACAAAGGACAAAAGAAGACCTAGTTGAAAGCTTATGGAGGCCTAGGATTTTTTTTCTCCTTATTTTATTCTTTCTCTCGTCCATTTATTGCACAGCTATTACTGAGCACCTACTGTGTAGCAGGGCTTGTGGCTGGATTATTTCCTCCCTCTTCCGGGAATAACCGCTAGGTTAGATTAAAAGACTAGTATTTCAGAACAGATTTGTGTATGCTGACTGTAACAAAGCCACAAGTTGGTGAAAGCTAGCTCCACAGTGTATAACAATCAGTGTATAATCTGTAGAGAATAATATGTAATATATAAATGATCACAATGTCATTATGCACATATATATATATATATATGTATGTATGTATGTATATACATATAGTTATACAGTAAGCCTGGCCAGGTCCCACCTGCAACGTCACCAACTTGTGCCCTTAATGGTCCCCTCCTCCTAGCCCTCCTGCCTTTCTGTCTGAACTGCATTTTTACACATCTTGACCTGGTCTGTAACATTGCTAGCCATAAAGTTGCTGTTCTGGTGCCCTGTCTGTCCCGCCAGCCGCGTCTCCTGTCTCTCCACCCATACATGCTGGCAGCCACCCCAGAAATGGAAGTCTTATCTCTTTCCCTAAGCCTGCTGACAATTTTGGACAGTCTAGATTCATTATGCAATTCTAAATAAAGGGGAATGAGAAACTCATCCCAATCTAGGCCCCTGAGGCCCTGCAGGACGAGGCGTTCTGCAGTATACACATTACCCCCGACACTAGGCCAGAGCTAGAGCTGGAACAGGCTGGCCAAGCAGGTGGGCTTCACACGGAGCTGCCCCCTCAGCTGCGCTCCAGGGAGCACGGCAGCCACCTTCCCCTCCCTGCCACATCCCTTCCTACTTCTGACAGTGTCTTGTTTGCAGAGAATACAGCAGCCGACATTTCCCCTGGGGCGGTATAAAGCCTATTTTGTGTGTGATTAAAACCCAGATGTAATTTAGCTTTCTCCCTCTAGCTGTTCAAGATGAGTTTCCTTCCTGCCCCTGGTCCTCTTCTCTCTTCCTTTGAAATCGGAGTAAATATTTACAGTGTTTTCATGCAGCCTGGACACTGTTTCTCCTCCAGGCTGCCTAGCTCTGTCTCTGTCACCTTGGGCTTCCTGTGAGAGAACAAAAAAATAATAATAGCAATAATGATGATAACAACACAATACTGCTGGCTTCCTGCACCGAGTCTGTCACTGTGAACCAAGGTGGACAGGTTTAGGGGACTTCAAGGGAGTGGGCCGAAGGGGTGAGGAAAGGCCCAGACCACATACCTGCGGGCTACAGTGACCAGAGACAAGCTCCAGCCCACACCCTTGGGTGTCAAGGTCCCAAAAGGAATTTGCCTAGTAATCACTACCCTCAGTGACCGGGTTGCTCCAGAGTCTGCATCTTCTGAGGCAGGAGGACTGGAGTCAAGTGTGGAGATTTACAGTGTGCAAAAAAGAGGGACCCTCATGCATGGCCGTGCTGTTTGCTATTAATGAAATATTTGATTGAAGTATAGAGATTCATATGTAGTTGTAAGAAATTGTACAAAAAAGTCCTTTGTACAGTTTTCCAGGTTTTGCCCAGTGGCAACATTTTATGGAATTACAGCACAATAGCACACCCAGGCGATGCCAGTCTGGTCAGATTACCTTGGTTTTATTTGTACTTATGTGTTTTACAGTGTTATCACCTAGTGGATTCCTGCAGAACTCCAGTTTGATGACTGTGACACTGGAGAGCTCCAACTTCCCATGCTGCCCCACATCCCCTGATGTGCTTCCCCCGGTCCTGAATCCATGGCAACCATTTATCTATTCCCTATTTATGTTTTCATTTCAAAAACATTATATAAATGGACTCAAGCAATAGGTAACTTTGGGGAATTTGCTTTTTTAAATTCCATATAATTCTTGTAGTCATCCAAATTCTATCAGTAATCCATTCCATTTCGCTGCCAAGTAGTATTCCATGGTGTGGCTGTACCAGTTCAACGGTTCACCTGTTGAAGAACACCTGGGATAATTAGTCTGTAGTTGATACAAATAAAGCTGTCAGGAACATTCCTGTATAGGTTTTTATGTGAACATAAGTTTTAATTTCTCTTGGATCAATGCCTAAGAGTGTAATTGCCTATGTTCTTTTTTAGCTTTTCCAATTCTTCTTCTTTTTCCTTCTGCCTCTTTCACAACAAGAGATATAAATATGTATGGCCAAAGGGTACCTGCCAACCAGCTAGCTAGAAAGTGCTCAATTGTGAAAGGCTTCTCAGGGATAAACAGTGCCTGGCTCAGTGCCAGTGGTGGTAGTGTCCTTCCAGAGCTCTCTTCGATCCTGAAATTTTACCCCTGTTGAAAATGCTGCCTCCTGGACTTCACTTTTCAAGTTTAGAAACTTGCAATAAGGAGTTAAAGTTCAAGAAGAGGAGGACAATACTAAGAAGGCAGCATCTGGCTTGGAGGGAGACCTGCGAGGCCTTCCTAGTCCACTTCCCTGCCCTGCCGAAGTCCTCTCCCCTCACAGATTTTGCGTGTGTCCATGTGCAAGTAGGTGGGCAGGTGTGTGAGGTGGCCCAGAAGAGCCCTGAGCTCTCTTTCATATTGTTCTTATGGCCAGGAAAGGGAGTGAAGCTGAGTGCAAGGATTGAACCTGCTTTATAACAGATTTCCATCCAACCAGGACTGGAAGGATCATCTTCCTTCCTTGGCCATCGCAGACTTCACTTGAGCATTTGCCTAGTGAAGAGCCCTGTGTGTGTGCTCAAGATAGAATTCGAATAAGCACAGACCTTGGCCCTAAGGAGCTCAAAGCCACAGCAAAGAACTCCAGCGAAGTTCATATGCTAGGTAGAGCTCTCTAAATACATCCCAAACCTCTTTATCCTGTGTGGGGAATGATTAAACGATATAGTACATTTGATATGACAATCTGTTGCTTTAATAGAGCTCAGGGAAAGATAAGATTAAAAGAAGTGCTACAAAGGAAAACAGGAGAATCTTTCATCTCTAGAAAGTAATGAAGACAGACCCTAGGTAGGAGAAAGGTCTGGCTCTGAGCAGCGCAATCGGATGACGTCAGGTCATAACGAGCTTGACACAATTGGGTTTCCATACGCAGCTCTCGCCACTGAGTACTCAACCAGAGCAACAATCACTACATGAGGAACCTGCCTGAATAAACATTTAGGCAGTGGGGAGGGCAGATAAGAGAACTGACCTTGAGTAAATGTTCTTCGCTCAGAGAGGAGTGGGACTGCTGGCATGCCAGCCTTTCTCTTCCAGGTTCCCTTTACGTTCTCCTTGCTAGAGGAGCAGCCATGCTCAGATTTCCTAGAATCTTCCAGGCTTAAGTCATGCCTCTTCATCACAAGCAGAAGCCAAACTGTCCCTGCAAGGAAGGAGTCCCTCAGTGGGGGACTTCCCAGGAAACAGGATATAGAATGTCCTTTGTGTTTCTGTGCACAACCTGAACCCCCAAGCCCATGGTTTCCTTTTGGCATCCATACCAGCCCCCCAGGACAAGTGGAGAATGTACTTCAGAAAGTGGCAAGAAATGAAATTTGCCTCAATTTCTCAAGGACTCTTCTGCTCAAGTCCAGATTGAAGTTCCCTGGAGACTAGCTTAGAGTCAGGAAAATGGTCTTTTCTACTCCAGAAGGGTCTGTAATTCTGGTGGGCTTTTCTGCTTCCTATACCAGGACTAAAGCTATGTCTTGATCTACAGGGCTCCCCTATAATTCACGTTCTTCAAACCAGCAGGAACCCCTCTATCCAGGCCCCAAATGTCCTCTGAGGCCTGTCTTTGACTGTGCCACGGCCTTAGGACACTGACCAGGTTAATTAGGAAGAGGAGGAGCCAGCATGGGCAGCGTGTCCAGCCTCCCGCTTCCTCTGCAAGCAAGAGAGATGAGCTTGCAGCCCTAAACACTACACACCTGCCCTCTAGGAGCCTTTCTCCACCAGAGGCTTCCTGGGCTGGAGGTAGAGAGTCTGCATTGTGCTCCTTGAAGCCAGCATGGCAAACGGAAACATGTCCCACCCTCCTAGAAGCCCGCCCACCCAAACCCCAGATCTCCCGTTCTGCCCCCTGTATTCATTCTCACCAACACGCACAGCGCAGAACACGTCCACACATGAACCAGCCCCAAAGACAGAGGTAAATACATTTATTGATTTCAAAAATATTAAATGTCTATTTACTAAGCACAATAAGCAAAGCACAAGCTCCTGTCCTCGGGGAACTTACACTCTAACAGAGAGACACTGGAGCGAGAGCAAAGCATAGCGTATGTACTTTCTCAATAACAAGCGTTAAGAGACCGAGAGACAATTAAGTATTCCAATACATAGGTGCTCCTTGCTTTTTTCATAATTAGTATTTGGGGGACCCACTGCAGGAAAGAAACTGCACTGGGCCCTCCTAGGTGAAAGTCAAGGGTCTTGCAATCTAGTCCATGGAGAATACCTGCCTGAGGAACAGTGCATGGCACTGTGTAATAATACTGAGTAAAGGTCACGAAGCTTTTGGGAGGAAGATTCACTTGGGCAAGTGATGGTATTTCTCCTGCCAGCTGCACACAAGCTGAGGACATGCCCGGAAACTCCTTGGAATTCTGACCACGAATCGCTGCATAACACAGGTCACACAGCACCTCAGGCCCTTCGGCAGAAGTGCAGGAGGCAGGGAGGCGGGAGTCCGTTCCCCTTTATCAGTCACCGCTGGGGCGCCCACTTTTGCCAGGCTTGCACACTTTGTGTATCTCGGTCTCCCTCACTCGAGTCATCTGTTCCATCACAGAAGGCCCGCCTTGCCAGGATCCGTGTGGCCAAAACAGGAAGCTCCAACGCCTACCTGCACAGCAAGCGAAATGGGCTCCTCAACGAAGCACTGGAGCTGACGGTAGGCACCTTGCCACACTGCAAGCGACGTGAAAGGGAAGAGGGGCTTGTTTTCCCTTTCCGAGAATACCAACACTTTGACCCCAAACCCAACTTTGAAACCCAAGGAGGACATGTTTCCAAACTTTCCCCATATACAGGCCGCTGCCGTGGGATTATCTCTACCACCAGCGAGCCAGCTATAGACAAGGGCCCTGCGTAAGCGGCATGTGTTTGGTGCCGACCCTAAAGTTTGGCTCATCTAGACTTTTTTGGTGTCCTCCTGTATTCTGTAGAAAAATAGGCTGGAGAGAGGAGGCCCTTCTTCACTCTCGGCCGCTCTTCTTTTTCACCAGGGCACCCCAGAGGAGGAGCACATGGGCAAGACCACCTCGCTTATTGAGAGCCAGCACCATCATTTGCTGCACTGCCTGGAAAAGACCACTGTGAGTCCCCCCGTCACCACCTCCTTTGTCATCCCTGACCTCTGACCTTGTAGGGCTCTACTCACAGCCTCATGCTGGGAAATCCCCTTCACTGCTAAAGTGAAGGGCATGGTGAGGTCTGGCCATGCCCAGGTGTAAGAGCCTAAGAGTGGGGCGAGCTGCCCAGGGTAGGGGCACAGCTGGAGCCATTGCCACCAGCCTGCCCGTACGCCCGCACCAGCCCTTACAGCCTGTTTGATGACTGCAAGTCAAGGGCCTCACTCCTTAGTGCTGGTGGGCATCACCCTTCCGAGCTCAGGCTGCACCTGCGTTTCTGTGCTGCCTGCAGACTAGGGGAATCCGGCTTGTGCATCCCTCTGCACCCTGCATTCTCCTTGGAACAGAAAACAGTGAAGAAGGGGACGTAGCAGTCCCAGCCTCCCCCAGTGACCCTGCTGTTATTAGGGAGCCCGGATTCTGAAGCCTGAGGATTGCAGAGTCAGGGTGCAGGGGGCCACAGCTGGAATGTGAATGGTGCTTGTGCTTTACTAACAGCCTGAAAGGAAGGGCAGTGGGGCCAACGGTGGACCCTTGGCAAATGTGCCAGGAACAGTGAGGAGAAGGCAGGGTGGAGAAGCCAAAGGGCAACCTCACTGTGCCTTTCCAGAAGCTCCCTTTGCTAAAGTCTATAGTCAGGGCTCAGCACTTGAAGAACTTCCTAAGTTAATTCCGACTATCCCAATATCCTCGTCTCCCAGATGTGAAGGAAATAGATGGAAGCTCAGTGTGGAGTCCATTAATGGCAGCTGAACCCACTGAGGAGTTCCAAAACTAAATGACGCTCCACAAACCCTGTTTCCTGGGAGCTATCATTAAGAACTGTATAGAACTAGAAGTTTTCTCACGGATGCTGAATTTGCCAAAGGGAGAAGCTCAGACCCAACTGTCCTTTCCAAGTTGCATGTGCTGGGTGGAATGTACAAAGTGAAAGGACACGGGTGAAAATGTTCATGTTTAAAGGCCTGGAATGTTGACATTGAATAAATGGGATGTGGGAATTGAGGGGCGGAATGCTGGCATTGCGGGGGGTGGAATGCTAAGTTTGAGGGGAAGAATGTCGGATTGTGGGGAGTAGGATGTCAGGGTGAAAGCTCTGGAATGCTGGGTTTTGGACTAAAGGGGTGAACGTTGGTGTGGATGGGGATGAATGTTGGGGTGGAGGGAGTGAATGCAGTGAATGCTGAATTAGAGAAGAGTCCTGTTGAATCGGAGGGGTGGGATATTTGGCCAAGAGGGGCAGAATGCTGGGAAGAAGGGATGCAATGGTGAACTCAAAGCGTGGAATGCTGGGACTGAGACTGAATGTCAAAACTGGCTTGGGAATGCTGGAATGTACAATCAATGGTGTTTTTATCTTCTGTTGGCATGTTGTCCTGTAGGGGTTGTCCTATCTTGTGGATGATCCCCTGTTATCTGTACGAACCTCCACCATCAAGGTATAACTTTTTAAAACTTCAATTGATGTTTTTCCTCTCTGATTCTTCTGAGTATGTAGATTCTCCTCCTTGTCCCTGATCTGCCTCTCTGCATGTGCTGCTGATTCTTCTGGGGCTTCTCCTGTCCCTTCTGTCATACCCAGTACAGTTCAGGCTTCTCGTTTTCCATGCTGAACGACCCAACTGCTTTTCCATTGCCCTCCTTTGACCTCTCCAGGGGACTAGAAGGGGCCACAGAACATAGCACCAACAGCGCTCTCCTGTACCTGCCCACTCCTCACCTCCCTGGGGACTCCTGCTAGTGGCTGGCAGGGCTGAACTCTGGGCTCTGGTCACTTGTCCTCAGACTTTCTCCTTACTCTGGCAGCCTTGGCCAGGCCACTAATGCCACTGTTTTGGGCAGGCTTGGGCCAGCAGCCGTTTAAGTGAACCTTAGTTTAGCTACATGCTATCCTGTTGCCCTGCAGTTAGGAAACCCTTCCCATGCTTACACTTCACCTAGGGAATCCTGAACCTCGGGTACACTGAAGATCCCATCCCACAATCAGATGGTAAGAGAAAAAACAAAACAAAACAGTAATTGAAAGAAATCATCCCTCATGGTGTGACCCCATCCACATTCAAGCACAGTGCTCCCCAGTTCTGTGAACCACCCAGCACCTTTAAAAGCTTCTGTCACCTCCTTAGAATTAATGTGACCCGGAAAAGGTGAGCTAGCACACTCATCCTCAGGGACTGCTCACCTGCTGCCGATGGCAGACGTGGGATGAAGCCTACAAAGACCAGAGCTCGCCTCCTCTCTAATGCTGCCCCCGAGTCCCCCACGCCCTGTATGTCCCGTCAGCACAAAGCTGCAGGGGCGTAAGCCCACATCATGACCTAATAGCTGTGGTCTCCACTTCAGCCTGATGGCCAGGACTGCCAGTACGATTCCTCCCTTGCCCCCTTGACGTTTCCTCCCAAGTGCTTCTCTGTGACCCGGGCAGCGTTAGACCTCCCTGCAAGGCCCACAGCAAGGTCAGGCAGCGCACAGGCCGTGGGCTTACGCCCCTCCTTTCTCCCTCCTCCTCCTACTTCTTCTCCTTCTGCCTCCCACAGAACCATGAGTTTATCGATGAGCAGATGTTCGAGCAGAACTGCATGGAGAGCTCGATGCAGAACTACCCATCCACGCGAAGCCCCTCGCTGTCCAGCCACCCCGGCCTCACTACCACCTGCTGCTCCCGCCGCGGCAAGAAGACCACGCACCTGCCCAATTCTAACCTGCCAGCCACCCGCCTGCGCAGCATGCAAGAGCTCAGCACAATCCACATCCAGGGCAGCGAGCAGCCCTCCCTCACCACCAGGTACGTGTCTCTGCCCAGAGGCCTGGGTCATTCTGTTCACAGAATGGGACAGTCCCAGCCCGTGAGGAGCACCTTAGCGTCCTCTAGCCACCCCTCCCCTGATCTAATGCATGAATCCCCTCCACCTTCTTCCCCCACCTTTGTGCTCACCTTGTGAAGTTAAGCCAAAGCCTTCGCGGGTGTTGGAGGATGGTGGAGCTGTTTTAGGCCAAAAGTGGGGCTACATATTAGAAGAAAAAGAAAACCCTTGAAATAATCCAGAACATCCCACCCCATTGCAAAGAATGAACTAGCCATTTTAAGGAAATAATTTTCATAATCCTGTTATGCGTGACTTATCCCAACCTGATTTTGAGTCACAGGCTGACTTTTCCCTCCATTCTCTGCGTACAGCGAAGCCACTTTCCACTACCTCTGAGTAGACTGCAGAGAATTCAGGGCAGACAAATGTCCCATTTCCCAAATAATGGGTGAACAACCACTGTAGGGAGGGAGAGGGCTATACTCTGAATCCTAAAGCCCAATCTAAATTGACTTTGTAATTGCTAGTAATTTAAGAATAATACTTAGGAGATTGGCAGCTAATTACTAAAGGCAGAAATAAGGGCTGCCCCAAGTATCCTACTTGCTATGAGCAACAAATGGGAGCGGTTGCGAAAGCTTTGGGTGCCTCCAAGAACTGTCGGTTCCTTCTTTTCTATCCCAGTCGCTCCAGCCTTAATTTGAAAGCAGATGACGGACTGAGACCAAACTGCAAAGCGTCCCAGATCACCACGGCTATCATCAGCATCCCCACACCCCCAGCACTGACCCCCGAGGGGGAGAGCCGGCCGCCCCCCGCCAGCCCAGGCCCCAACACGAACATTCCTTCCATAGCCAGCAATGTTGTCAAGGTCTCTGCCTTGTAAAACTACCGGACAGAGGGCCAGGGTAGCGGGGAGTGAAAGGGGGCTGGCATGTTGGCGAGTGGCCACAGGACCACTCCTTCCCCTTTCCCCACGATTTCTCCCTGGCCATGGCACCCCTAGCACTGAGTCTTGTGCCTGGGAGGGAAGAGAGATAGCAAGGGGCACCTAAGACTCCCGCCGCCGGCGTGGACACTGCCCTGTGATACTGCTTTTCACTGAGGCCAGATAGGAGGGAGGGTGGGTAGGGGATGGGTCAGTAGTGGGCATAGGCTGCCGGCCAGGACAGGCCTGGAGGGGGCCCCAGATGAAATATTGTTTCTGGAGACCCCGGTGAGGAAAAGACAAGACCAAGAGCAGCTGAGAGGCCGAGTCGTCACATGCAAAACAGGAAGAATATATAACACTGTGTATTTAAGCACCTTTTCAAGGCTTTTAATGGATAATATTTATTCATGGGAAAAGGTGGAAAACAAAAACACCTACGGAGTTTTGTGAAATGTTTTTCTCCATGGACCCAGCACCTTTCAACCAAAACAATGCATTTTGTGTTTTCTCCTTTTTCTTCTCTTCTTCCTCTTCTCTACTCTTCTCTTTTCTCTTCTCTCCTCTCCTCTCCTCTCTTCTCCTCTCTTCCTTTCCCCTCCCTTCCTTTCCCTTCCCTTCCCCCCCAGCACAAGCTTTTAGGCTCAAAGTCAACTACAGCTGAGTTCTTTCTCTATTCCCCTGGGTGGGTGAGGTCAACAGCCTGGGCCCTCAGTGCCCAGCTGACCTGCACAGAGCTGCAGGCGACCACACTGCAGCCCTTACGCTCTGTCTGTCCCACGTCCTTTGTCTCTCCATGTACCTCTCTGCTTCCCCCTGGCTGTTTCCAGTGTGTCCAACCATCTCCTCTCTAGGTGGATCCGGTGACCCTGAGACATGTTAGTGCAACCTTCTACACACCACTGCCAAGTACTAGAGACTCACACCTGGGAATTAGAGCTCAGAGAATGTCCATGCACAAGAGAGTGGAGCCAAAATGGGGAGAGCTTAGGGGCAAGGAAACTCCACTTTATGAACAAAGATGCTTCTCTGTGATTGAAACCACTGGTGTTTACTGTATCCATTTCTGGGAAGAAAGGGATTGGAGAGATTTATTCTGGGATCATGCAAAAGGAAACAGCAACTGCTGAAAAGCTATCATCTCTGGTGTGCACCAGGAAAGAGAGGCTAGAACCCAGGGCTCACAGCTGCAGGTGCCCTGTGGATCCATCACAAAGCCCAGCCAGGGCTCTGCTAAAGAGCTGTAGGCCCAGGTTCTTCCAGAGAGGACAGTAGGATGGATGAAGTCTTCTGACTTCGCTCTCTTCTGAGGCACTTCCCATGTGGAAGCTGTAGAAAGTGAAGCCTGAGCACTTCATGATGGGCATTCCAAAGCATGAGAGCAAGTAAGATTCTAGAAGGTTCTCACCTGGCCTGAAAGATGATTTAAAGTCTGACATGTTTTCAGGCCTCATCTCTGAAGGTAGCTTCAGTAAGGGAGAATCAGATCACTTCTGTGAAAGGAGAGCAGAGATCATGTCTTATACACGTACGTAGCATTTCTGTTCCAATAGCGTGTACCACGATGGGGGTGGGGACGGCATTTCTGGAATGCTCCTAATCATTTTCATTGCTAATAGCGGAGAAGGTGGGCCTCAAGGTTAGGGACAGGTCTTTTCCTGCCTTCCCCAAGCCCCAGTTACCCTACTAAAACCTCTGTAGACTGGGCTCTGATATACACATGCTCCCAGAGCTCCTTTTCCATTCTACAGTGTAGTTGTTAGCTGTTAAATTGTAGGCCAGGAATTTTCCTGCCTACCATAGCCATCTAGATGGGTTTCACCGGTGAGGAACCTAAAAACACCCTCAGCTGGCTTTCCACAGACCCCAGCTCAAGTGAACCTGTAGGCAGAGAGTCAAAGAGTTTTGAGTTGACACCTTACAGGAAAGTAGGCAGAAGGGCAGAGGAGAGAGAGCCATCTCTGCTTTCATCTCCTTGTGCCAATCCTCATTGCCACTTACAGTTCTTTCTCTGGGTCTAGCCTTAAGAATTTACCCTTAACATAGGAATGGGGCAGTTCTTGCCTTCTGAGCCTTGGTCAAAGAAAGCATAAAAGTATTACTGTACAACTACAGAGGAACACACACACACACACACACACACACACAGAAACCTAAACATTATTTGAGAATAACTAACTACTTAAATCCATTCATTTCACACTTCTCATTAGGAAAAGCAGAGAACTTAGTTGGAGGAAACTGGACAAAGGACTAAAGAGGATCTTGCTTTGGGAAGCAGGAGAAGTGGAGCAAAGCTAGCCACACATGAGTACCCTGTCGTACATTGTAAGAACTAAATGACATGGGAGAAAGAGGTAACAGGAACATGGCTGCACACACATACTACCTGTGCTTCACTCAAGAACGGCTCCTTAATGGGGTAGAACACTTGATTTAACCAAGGATCTGCATGGCCACAGGAGTGGATTAGTCATCCACCCTCACACACACGAATATATTTTAAAATCATGTCCCAGCCAATTCTTTACATTTTTGATTCCCATGGACTGCACTTTATTGCCTCATTGTATTTCCAAAGTCCATATTATGCCAGGCTTTTGGGGGTGATAGTTTGATATAAGGACTCGCCATGTAGGCCCAGCTTGGCCTCAAACTTGAGCTCCTTCTGGAATGCTGGGATTACAGATACACCACCCCACATCCAGCATTCCAGTTCTTAGAAGAAATTGTCCAGTTCATCTCTCACCCTCATTTCTAGCCTTAACCAGGGATAAGGAACCCTGCTCACCTCTAGCCTAAAGATGTTAAACAGGAAAGAGGCTCACTTATACAATAGAACATAGTCGGGCTACACTGCGAAATGGTACCTATAGGTCCAACATGTACTGTCAGCTTAGCCTAACTCATTGACTAATAACTGAATGGGGTCATGTCTTGTGCTTCATATAGCTCAGGAATAATTTTTAATAAGACAGCGTTTCAGGATCACCTATCCTATTCAGTCCCACTTTTTAAAAAAAGCTACAAATTTCAAGTGAATGGAAATCCAAAAAATAGTGTTGAATATATAAAACCTAGAAAATACAAAAGAATATCTGATTCATTCTGCAGTATAGAAAGTGGAGGCCCCGAGAAATGCAGTGACCTGGACCAGGTCAGGTAGTCAGTGATAGAGCTGGGGTCGGAACATGGGTCCTCTGCTACTGTCCAGTGTTTTCCCCGCCCCATGCTTTGCTCCCAGAGTGAATGCTTTGGAGAAGAGCCATCAAAGACCTCACAGGATAGCTGAGAGACAGTCATGTAAATGTCACTATTTGGACACAGTCCTTGGAAATCCCAATTGCACTAGTACAGACTTGGAAACCACCACTTCCTGGGTACAATCAGCTATGGACTATCATCCCATCAGAAATAGGTGAACAAGTGAATAGTCAGGTTTTTACAGCCAAATGCTATCTTTTCTCCATGAAGAGAAGGCTAGGACAGTGACAGTCCAGGCATAACTTTTGATCCTGATTACAGTGGCTGACGGTAGCAGGTCACATAATAAATCCTTGATTTAGAGAAGCAGTGGGCACAAAGCTGAATGACGTGGCCAAGATCACATGGCAGGTTGGTAGCAGGTTCAGTCCAGGAGTTCAACATATTGTCCTGGGTTTTTTTTCCATCTCATGTTCCACTGCTGTATTTTTAAAACCTGGATTTCCAAGGTGGTGATTAAGGGAAGGAAGCATTTCCTCCAGAGCCACCCTGAAGAACTAGGACTTCCAGAAACAAGCAGTAGTATTCTCCCTCATCGCCGATAATTCTCACTAGAATCAAGCTCAGGACTAACTACACAGAACTCCTTTCAAAAGGCCAACATTCTCAGACAGTGGAAGACTAGTCTGCAGTCACACAGAATTTTGACAGTGGACAGGTAAAGATTCATGATTACAGGAAAGTCAGCAGAAACATGCTGAGGATTTTATCCAGTTTTTTTTTCTCCAGTACAGAATTACGTTACTTACTTGTTAGAATACAGGTAGGGTAAGTATACATTGTAACATTATATATCTAGATTTTTTTCCCCCTTTGGTCTTTTTTGATTCTGAAGCAGTAGTGGTTAGAACTAACACTAGATTTGAGGTTATTAATGGATTCCTCATGCAGATTCCCCTTCTTCAGTTACCAGGTAACTACGAGGCAAAAGGATCCCAACACTAAATTTAAGGCAATATTAGTTTCCTCTTTATACTAGTTGGCATGGTGACTGTAACAGGAACCTGAGGAACTTTTATTTTCCCTGATTTCCTAATGAATTATTATTTACAAAGCTTTAAAATGAAGGAAAAAGTGTATGACCCTTGGAGCATCATGAACAGCATCATTAGAACTAAGAGAAAGCAGCTATCAGCAAACAAACAGCTTTAAAAAGGTTCCTTATGAGTCTTGTTTTCTATCCAGGACGTTCTGTGTTTTTTTTCTCATCAAATGTGGGAATGACATTTATCTTAGCAGGTTACTTAACTACACTGGCTAACAATGTCACTCTGGCCAGAATAGGGCACTGACCCAAGTCCTGAGGAGCTCTTTGGACCAACAGACTATTTTACAAACCTGGGAAGTGGGAGGGATGGTATATTTTTGATAATCAGACATTCCAGTATGTTTTCCTTAGAAGTCATATTCTCCCATTAATGTTATCGTGAAAAATATCGAGTGTGTTGTTTTCTATTTTCATATTTTAATAAATGAGCTTTGCTTACCAACATCACAATGGCAAAGAAGAAGTCTACTGTACAAAACTGCAGGAAGATAAACATGTGAAAACTTTGTATGAAAAAAAAACTTTTGTTGTCTTCTTTTGAAACTGTAGTGCATATGTTAAAACATGTATATCATTTATAGTATTGAGTCATGTGCCACTGCTGTACCTGATGTATCCAATCTGGATTAAACTATGTGCCACAAACCCTAAAATGACTGCAAGCATGCTTTCTTTTCAGTTCTCCTTTGCTTGAAAAGGTTTCTGCCATACACTAGAAAGTAAGGGTAATACAGAGAGAGGCTTTCTGGCTTGACTGATCTGAGGAGGGAAAAGGCTCAGTCTAACCTGCCACCCCCTCCCTCACTGCATGCCAACTCCTCTCTGGCTTCCTGATGCCTGACTGCCCTATGCCACAGCGATCTGAAGTTCCTAACAAATGACTGCTCAATCATGACTGCATTCATCAACAGCTCTTTTGAGGCCAAACCCTCAGAAAATCTAC